GAAGGTAACAAGGACCCTAGCGAGAGTGGTGTCCCTTACAGGCACACGGTAGTATGAGTGTTCAGATGGAAGAAGGTAACAAGGACTCTAGTGAGAGTGACGTCCCTTACAGGCACACGGTAGTATGTGTGTTCAGATGGAAGAAGGTAACAAGGACTCTAGTGAGAGTGACGTCCCTTACAGGCACACGGTAGTATGTGTGTTCAGAAGGAAGAAGCTAACAAGGACCCTAGTCAGAGTGGTGTCCCTTACTGGCACACGGTAGTATGTGTGATCAGAAGGAAGAAGGTAACAAGGACCCTAGCGAGAGTGGTGTTCCTTACTGGCACACGGTAGTATGTGTGTTCAGAAGGAAGAAGCTAACAAGGACCCTAGTCAGAGTGGTGTCCCTTACTGGCACACGGTAGTATGTGTGTTCAGAAGGAAGAAGCTAACAAGGACCCTAGTCAGAGTGGTGTCCCTTACTGGCACACGGTAGTATGTGTGTTCAGAAGGAAGAAGCTAACAAGGACCCTAGTCAGAGTGGTGTCCCTTACTGGCACACGGTAGTATGTGTGTTCAGAAGGAAGAAGGTAACAAGGACTCTAGTGAGAGTGGTGTCCCTTACTGGCACACAATAGTATCTGTGTTCAGAAGGAAGAAGGTTACAAGGACTCTAGTGAGAGTGATGTCCCTTACTGGCACACGGTAGTATGTGTGTTCAGAAGGAAGAAGGTAACAAGGACCCTAGTGAGAGTGGTGTCCCTTACAGGCACATGGTAGTATGTGTGTTCAGAAGGAAGAAGGTAACAAGGACTCTAGTGAGAGTGGTGTCCCTTACTGGCACACGGTAGTATGTGTGTTCAGAAGGAAGAAGGTAACAAGGACCCTAGTGAGAGTGGTGTTCCTTACTGGCACACAATAGTATGTGTGTTCAGATGGAAGAAGGTAACAAGGACTCTAGTGAGAGTGATGTCCCTTACTGGCACACGGTAGTATGTGTGTTCAGAAGGAAGAAAGCTTTTAGGTTGACTGGATGAAAAAGTACATTCTTTGAAGATTTAAAGTGAATCTATTAGGTAACAGTTGTAACCTTTTCTTCCCTAACACAGAATTACAGCTCTTAAATGGATCTGTCCAATATAAGTTATTTCAACAATTTCAAAGGTCACCGTGAAAATGAGATTTGGTTTTAAAGTCCAGTAATTTTCTGTAAAGAGTTTTCTGTAAAATATAGCAAATATAAAGCAAAGCAGTAAAGTGTAATTCTTCTTGCACATAAACCACTCGCCGGATGGCGGAGAAATTGCCGTAATGCCACCAAAGTCATGTGACCTATTCTCCTCCCAGCACAACGGTCGTGTTAGATGTCCGTTTGACAATTATCTGGAGTTAAATTTTATTTCGACTTTCCCATTACAATCATTGTCTTGTCACCTTAATCAGGATTTAATGCGGGAGATCTCTTTAGTGACAGCTAGAGTTCCTAAATTGCCAAAGATTAAACAAATATCGGTGTATGTTTTACTGGAATCGGAATCGTAGGTTAATGTACCACCTTATGTTAATTAAAGTCACCACTCAGGACGTGACACAGCGCTCACAGTATGTAAAGGAACGGTGGCCAATTAATGGTGCCGATTCGTTGTGTAATACATTTAACAGGCCAGATCCAAAGACTTTAAAGACCGAAAGCTTAGCCTAATTCCAACGTACCACTCGTAATACCCTGCCAAGGTCGCGGTTCAACTGTTGAAGGACATAAAATTGATTTATGAAGGGAAATCAGGAAATTTCATATTTTCTTTTTCTTTATTTAATATGTGAAATTGATTACTATTAAGTGATATATAGGGCATAGACATGCCCCGGATCAATAAACCAGGACCAAAGTGGCACTTCATATTTCCTTAGTTTCTGTAAAATTCGTATATATATATAAAGACATAGTTTTAGCAAATGTACAGAGATTTTTCTCTTTATTTTATGAAAATGTGTACATTTTATGATATATGGACCTAGCATGGAATCAAAAAATTCTGCGAGTGTGACAAAGAAGAGTATTGAGGAAACTAATGCACCAGTCCGTTGCTTATATAATAAGATAAGGATCTGTAGGTATAACGGTCACGCTGATGAAAATGATGACATGATCAATTAGGGTGAATTTAACCTTGCTCCTCTGTGGCATCAAGTGCAAATGTTTTTATACTGATGCTCCTTCATGTGTGATAAGTCTGTCATGTGCCACCATTTTTGTGTAATTATGGGATATCATATTTTATAGGTTAAAATGGCATTAACATTATCTCGGGGACAGATTCTATGACCTCATTATAGATATTTCTATAATATGTCGAAGAATCTGAGATCCTTTCTTAAACATACATCTGATCAATGTAACCTGGAGAAATTCTCAACCCTTGATTCTGTAGACTGTATGTGTTAAACACAGTACGTTTCAGTTCTACAACAGTTAATTGCAAAATTGTAATAGCAGGTGAAGATCGTGTAAACCCCCAGGATCCCGAGGATTCCATAATTGTAGACGTTTATTTGTTTACATGTTAAAGATGGCTTGGTCAGCCATCATCGGAACCAGTTAATTTAAAAAAACATTTGTGTAATTAAAAGTGTTTAGACCTACAAATTCATGCAATATCACAGATAGAACATTTTCTCCATAAAAAGAAGGTACTTGTATTACTGGCGAGAATGTTAAACATTTGATATTTTTTACCAGTTGTGCAAACAGTTGACTTTTAAAAGGCAAACATCGCATGTGATTGATACATGTCCGACCTGGTGCTTATAATCCAAGGAACAAGGCCAGATCATACAAGATAGCATTGTTGATAGTGAGAAAGATCACCAGGAATTTGTCTAGCTGGAATAATAAATCGTTGTTCAGTTGCTCTGTGATTGGTCTTACGCAACACGTATGGGACCAAAGAATTGGGACCTTACCAAGACTAGTGATAAATTGGTCCAGTTTTCCGTTGAACAGGAATGCAGATCGTGAGTTAATAGGTACCGAGTGACAACAGACACGGCCTGTTTGGAGATGGTATTTATTAGGTGTGTAATCTATAGTATCGTATAGTACCTCTGATCAGCCCAGGGATGCGCATTATCTTCAGTAAAAGAGGTCAAATAGATACAGCACTGTCTACGTACAGGAAAATGTTCTATACAGTCCAATCTCTTTTTTTCACCTCTGTAATACATACAAACTTAGAGCACATCATACTATCTTTGGTAAATTTTGCCGTCATGGACAAATATGACATCTATATCAGTGAAAGGCAAAGAATATATTTGGCTGGATGAAAATTCCAAGTATGCAGTATTTAAGTTTTACAAACTTTTATGTAGGAGGGGTTATTTTGACTTAAATTAAGACACACATTAATTTTCTGCTGATGAGCCCATGCTTGAAAATAAGCTCACCTCTTCTGTTAAAGATTGTATGAATGAGATTCTTATTTGGAAGTAAGATCTTCCTGAGATAGAGCTTGAAATTAGTTCAGACCAATGCAGTACCTGTAACCAGCTACCTTAACCCTTTCACCCCTATGCAACTTTAGTAGACTCTACCATGCATTGATCTGGATGAGTCCATTATGGTCTACAGTGGTGAAAGGGTTAAGGATGGGTATGCAGGGCTTTTTAATGGTATAATATGGTAATTTGTGTATATTTATAAATAGTATATGTAACAGTATGTTCCTTGTCTCACCCGAATAGTCTACAGACATATTATGTAAGCTGTAGAAATGTACCTCAAAATAATTAAAATCTCCGCACAGCTTGATAATTGACCATGTTTCACATTCAAATGCTGGCAATAGAATGTTTATTCAATGTACAAAATCATCCAGTGTCTTTGTTGAAATGGTACTCCATGCTTCAATTTCATTAATGCATATATTGGGCTATGAAATTATTTACATTATCAAGACTTCGCTATGTACACATAGTGAAATACGATAAGGCAGTATGTTATAGAAATTGAATATCTATCTGACAGGTATATGGTGACTGCCAATCGGAACATAAACCTTAAACAGAGATGAGTGTTACAGTTGAGTGGTCGTATGATCTTTACGTTTAATCATGTGACTAAGTGGCAGAATTATATTGACAGATGTGCATGAATGCCAATTGAAACCATTCAGACATTACATCAATTATTCAAATTTCGCAACACAAAAAAGTGAAAATTGAAAAAGATGATAATCAGCATTATACATTGTACAGCACCACACTGATGTAATTACGAGAAAAAGGTTTTAATTTTTTGTGATAATGTCAACTAATGTCTTGATTGAATTAGTGACATATCCACATGGTGACCTTATGACTGACATGCCTGCTTCTGAAACAGACGCCTTTGAGAACTAATTGTGGAGAGGAAATTACCCCGATGTCACTTAGTTCATTTAAATAAACCCACAAAGGTTCATGCCAAACTTCACTTTCATTAAAACAGCACTGTTTGTTGGGTATGAACTAAGCATTAGATGAAAGACCTAACATCTTAATAGCTTTTGGCATACAGAAGATTAAGATTGCAAGAAATTCTACAAGTTAGTATCAACTTGCTTGAAAAGTGTTTCATGTTAAATAATAAGTATGTGGGATATTGGAAGATATAGAAGCAGCATTTTGCTAGAAATGGTTCCGTGTCCAAACTTCCTACAGATCAATTTCCAGAATATCAAACACATCAAATAATTCTTGAATAAATTTGGACAAAGGTATTCAAAATGGCCAGATTTACAGAAGTCAACGTTTGTTCAGATAACGTATAGCTAGAACTACTAATGTCAAAGGATCGTAGTTTGTGTTCAGGCAATAACTTGCCACTCAAAATTTTCCGGATACCTCAGTCAGAATAATGGTACATGCACCAAGTTAGTAATGTATGTATTGAATGGTAGAGAGAAAAAGGTTAATTTCTGTGTGTTAACAGATATAAGTGTAATATAAGTAACGTATCCCTATTTGATGTTTTCCAGAAGGACACCCTGATGAAGGATCTAGAGCAGGAGAGGCTGGCCCGGGCCCAGACGGAGCAGAAACTCCGTTCAATGACGGAGGAAAACAACAACTGCAGGTCACGTCTCCATTCCCTCCAGGATGAGTTCAAAAGGTCAGTGTATGTGTATGTCAAGTTAAAAATCTACATCTCCAGGTCAAAGGTCATTGACTCAAATGGTCAAATGTTGGTCCCTTTAGAGTCAAAAGTTACTGGCACCAGAGTCATCCTATAGGTAATGAATGGTGTTTCTAAGGTCAAAGTTTGATATCTTTACAGTCAAAGGTCGATGTCTTTGGGGTCAAACTAGTTGCTGTCTTCAGGGTCAAAGGTGAATGTTTCTTGGGTCAAATGCAGCATTTATTGACTGAAACTAAAGTTGTCTTTTACAGCAACATTTTTTATAATACAGCTTGTCATGGTTTCTGAAGCCTACCCTATCTGATCCCTGGTCTCCACTGATTTCACTTGTGTTTCAGTTAATTCAAGGAAGGAGAGAGATGGGAGGGGAAGGGGAATCTGAAATGGTTCAAAGATTATTTGTATGCATGCATGGCCGTGATATCTGATTTTGCCAATTGTAAAATGATGTTGAACGGTCTGTGGTTATAAAGTGTTGATATTATGGTAACACGTCTCAACTTTAGATACGGTGCCTGGAACAGAAAGCAGGATGCATGGAGTCCAGTTCTTGTTGAGAATAAAAAATCAGTTACATTACTGTCATATATGAAATATCTAGATGAAGAAGACAATCCTTGTTTGAGTAAAGTTGTGTGTTTTTAACCACAGTTTGATATTAAACATTGACTGTCTCTTGGTGTCGGGAATAAGGTTGCGTCCCCGACAGTTCATGCATATTTAAACTTAAAACTGGTTGCTGTCCTTCTATGCTTGGTTTGTTTTGGTAATAAAACCAGTCTGTGGAGTCTTCTCGCAGTCATAAATGCCCTCTATCAAAGAAGGAAGAAAAAAAATGATATATGTTGTACACAATACATGTCTGTCTGTTATAAAATCCCACACAGTATGTATAACAATGTCGATGAAAGTTTTGAAATATCCACCAAGCTTTACACAAAAAAGTAAGTTTCAATATAATGAATGTTGTGGGAGTGAGGAGGGTGAGGGGAGAAGGGGGGGGGGGGTCTTTTGTTGCTATGCCATCAGTGGTTGTTTTTAAGATTACCTTACTGTTCACATAATAGTGAATTATGAATTAGAAACCTTTTTAACAAGCATGAAAATAGCTCTGAAAGTAATTTCTGAAAAGAAACCTATACCTTCCAGAACCGAAAATTTACAAAGCTGAAAAAAATAAAAAAAAAAGAAACCAGTCAATATCTGGGAATTAAAATGCAGAAAATTCAGAGAGGTTACTTATGTTTGAAACGCTACACAGGAATTAATTATCCAGTGTTATGGGACAGGGAATCCTTGACCCATTCACCCCTAAAGTCACATTTGAACCTTACCAAATCAAAGACTGGGCAAGTCCAGTTTAGATATGTAGGGATGAATGACTTTACAGAGGGTGAAGTAATGATGCGTTTGAATACATTTAATTGCTTTTGAAAGAGTTCAAACCAGATATTTATGTTGAGGTCTGTTTTACAGCATTCAGCTGTAAGAGTTCTGATAAAATTGAAAAAAATATTTTTTTCTTTTTTTCTTTTTTCATGGCTTTACTGGCAGTCGTCTTTATTAATATTCAAGTGTGTTGGACAGATAGTCCTAGGTTTTAAGGTTTATCAACATCTCTGTAATCCTGTGATTAAATGAGCACTGAATTAGAGGATTCTTCAGACCATCTACATTCTGTGTTAATTGATGTTTGAGGTAAGTTAGAGGCCTGGACCACCTGCGAACTTGCCCCCACAGCCACCCCATCATCTGAATCTTTAGCTCACAGCAGAGATCAGCATCAGAATCCATTTGGTGGTGTCAATTCAATATTTTATTTGTACTTTTATAGCGAGCTCTGTCAGTCAAGCCCTATAACAGATCAGATTGGTTATCTCCCCTTGACAGTGGTATATGTGAGGTAAATTGCCAACAGATAGCAGTAGATTTGTTTTTACTTTTTTATGTGTCGGAGTCGGAAGGTTTTGCCGTGTAGCTTCACCGGAGCAGAGCAGTAGAGCTCTTTGGATTAAGGAGATAAAAAATCATATCTGTTTCGCTTCTTGAGGGGTCTACTGACTGTAAACAAAATTAGCGGAAACTTGATAGGCACTCCGCATGATTCGGAAGACTCCCAGAACTTCTGGTTATGCCAGGAATTTGGTTGTTACGTTTAATTCTGATAGATACACTAGTGTTTACTATGGTGTTGAATAATAGTTAAAAGTAATCTGTGCCAAGAAATACATGTGGACACTTAGAAAGGCTGGCAGTTCAGGGCCAACACAGTAGCAGCTTAATGCAGATTGAAATGGAATTTTAAAATGATATTTTTGTTAAACATTTGATAAAATGTGAATATTTTTTATTCTTCATGTCATCTATTGTTTCCCATTGTAGCTTTAGATGTCAATTAAATATTTTTGAAAATATTTTTGGTGAAATATTTTCTTGAGAAGCTAACAAAACATTGAGACTGTTTAATTTTCCTACAAGTCAGAACTCGGTCATACCGTAGTATGATGTGTACTTTTCAGTCAAATATTTACATTTAAAAATAGTTTGAAACAGTTTGAAAAGTTATAAAATGTTTCTAGTTTTTTTCCAATGGGGATATTTTTGTCCAAGAATGTGCCAGTTTTGTTTTCAATGATGGTAATTGGAAAATATGGTAGATAAATGTCTTGTCATAGCTAAGTAAGGTCAAAACAACAGTTCTGATTAATATAAGTCTCATATTATAACTATATTGATGATTATTATCAGGTTTTGTAATGTGTGACCTTGATAATCTGTCCTTGGCAAATACAATTCCAGTCCAGCCAGTTACTTAATTTGGTACATGTTTCTGCAAGGAAGTTGACATGTGATTATCCCTCTAATGAAATACTCTAGGAGCTTGAATCTGTCAGCTTTGCTCGAGAGAAATTTTGTAATACTTAGGATTAAGAATATATATATATATAATACATATGATTTTATCTTGTCATCATTAAGACAGTATCTTAAATTAGTTTAAATCCGATCACATGCGTCTGAATCTGTGAATAAGCAACACAACAGAAATAGGTGAGAAAACAAATTTTCTAATATATATAACAATAAATATAAACATCCATGATAATATCTAGTTATTGACATTTCATGTAAATATTTATCTTAAGTAGCTCTTTTATTTCAAATATCATTTAAGCTCAAGTGATAAAGGCTGTTAAAATTGAGCTAATCGTGATCGTGATCGAGGCTTTATGTAACACTTGTTTGTAAGCATGTATGAGATTTTAACAGAGCTGTCAATAACGCAGGCTATTATTTAGAGAAGTGATAGATATAAGATGTACATGGTCTGATAAGTTAGTCCCCTTGGGCACACATAAATATTGGTGTATGATTTGATCAACACTTTACAGTCCTGGTAAATTCCTCGAGGATTTGACAATGAAAAAAATGGCAGAAGTCGAGAGGAAGTGTTTGGTGAAGTAAGTTATGGCTAACTAGGCGATGAGACTGTCGATGAGACTGCTGGGGAAACAGTCTGGCTCCGATACATCACTGCAGCGAAGTGCCGGCACGACTCGGAATGGCGACACAGACGCAATCGCATCCTGTTGAGAGAAATCTCACCAGCGCTCTTTATTGATCTTTAGTGATCCAACCAAACATCACATCTGACAAAGCATCTCGTTGTAACGATGGCACTGCCATAAATTTGGACAAACTTGTATCATAAGGAATTAGTTTAACGTGTCGTCTTTTCCTCCCGGGTCCCTATCGCGACTCACTGGAGCCAGTGAAGGTTCAGGGGGGCATGGTGTCATAAGGCTCGCCCAAATACTCGGGAACCACGGCACAGACCAGGGCAGAAGCGATTATTTCTCATTGATTATCAATGAGGACGGAACCCTAGAGGGAGAATCGTCGGATAAAAGTGAATTTAATTTTTGGACAGAGTTGTTTGGTTTGGTTTAATTATCAAACATTTTAAAAAGATTTGTAACGTTTGTTTTATAATTGTGATAAAAAGGATTGTAATTTGTTAACATTACAAGAAAAAATCCCTAGACTTTAGACATGGGAAAAATCGTCTAGCATTCTGACAAATTTTGTCTGCAATGTATGACCTTGGGAATGGTCGATTTGTTTAATTTTTCAAATTAATTTCATGTCTGCAAGACATTTCAAGATCTTGGTCAATCAGGACCTAGGGAAAACATTTATTATGATTATTGATTGTTTGTATTTTTTCAGTTGTAATAAAATCTGCTTGAATTCTTTCAATAATTTTAAATATAGAAGATTTTATTTGTATATTGAAAGAAATCTATGTATTGTAAGAGGCCAAATAAATACAGTGGACAATGTCATCATTTTAATATTAAATTTCAATTATATAACGTGCCAAACTAAATGTTATTGTTTCGTTTTAAATTTTCTGAACAGACTTAATAATGTTATTTTTGAATTGATAAGTTTTTTGGTGGCCAAACAAAAACTATTCTTTATAGACTGATTATTTCTGAAATGGTACCAGTGATAGTACTAGCCTTTACAAATGAGGAATCTCAGGGTAATGACTAACGTGGTTCCGAATAGGATTTCAGGACAAAATGTTGAAAATTTTGGGGTCCTTTGCATTTTTTTAGTGTTGACCTGACCACTGTGCATATGAATTGTGATTGAAGAGTACTGGTCTCTTCTGCTTTCAAAACATTTACTTAACTTTGTGTATTCGCCTTGACAGTCAGTTTGTATTGACCGTGGTGAGAACGCTGAGCAGACGACACTTAGAACATTTCCCTATTGTTTTCTTATTGAAAAAGCTGAAATACTTACCTGCGTCATCTCATTTACAGGAGGTATATAAATAGACGGATCGTTGATGTTATCACACGAGCTATTTGTAACTTCCTTTACATACATTTAACCCTGAGTTACAAAGAAATATTGATATTTTTGTACACGTCTGGAGCCAACAATCTTCCACTGCTCAA